GAGGCTGAACCTGCCCCACAAGGAAGCTCCGCGGCGACGCGAGTCGCGGTGGAGCAGGAGGCAAGCGACGAAGGACAGGGTTGAGCAAAGAGGAGCCGCAGCATTTGGGGGTGCCGAGGGGTCCTGCGGTGGCTGGATCTAGGCCATGGCATCCCTTCCTGTACTTATTGCTCTGGGTATAAATACAGATTAATTCAGCTTACTTCAGTGGGGTAACATGGTTAGACTTTAGCTGATAAGGGACTGTGAAGAAACTGCTATCCCTACAGCGATAATGAACTTATCATAACCAGTTTACAATTAACTATGATAAATTTTAACAAAAGCTTTAAAAACAAAGAGACTTTGGGGCTTATAGAAGCGTCCGAGGGGGCCATTTGTAACTGGGGCTTGATTACACTACATCCTCTGCGCACATTCTCAAAGGCCCCCTCTCTGCTCTCCATAAAATCCTTGGCCCAGCAGTGGCAGACAAAAGCCAGAGAACGAAATCATCTGCTATTGCCCCACAATTTCAGCTCTTCAATTCTCATGTTACAGGGCACATCGCAGATATCCTTCATCACATTTTGCATTTGATAAAGATTTTTTAATCAGTTGTTTTAAAGAAGCAGGGACAAAATAAAGATGAAGGCCAGGAACACAACATTTAGGGCCAAAATCGCCCACAGCTTCTAGTTTCTTTCAGGCATCAGGGTACATTAGAAGAAAATGCAGTTTTGGTGTCTTGCAGTGAGTGATCATAATAATTTAAAGCATTTACCATTATATCACTTTTTAAATTCCATGACACTAAATAATTTAACTTTTTAAGTTCCATGAACATTTGTGTATAACTACTGGACTACGTTTTAAGGGCAAAAAAAAGGTTTAGCTGTATAAAATCAGATTTTTTTTATTGTTGTTAGCATAAGTTATTGTCAAATTTAGCAGTAAGAGATATATTGGGTCCATAAATTTAAATTTAAATCCCTACTCTCTAAATTAATTTAGATTTCTACATGCTTAAAATTTTGGATATGGTGAATTTGATGAAATCAGGCAAGTACCTAAAAGCAGCTTATTTAGGACACTAATTTCAATTATAGGCTTACTCAGGTGAGGTATTTGTCTGGGTTGCAAATATGCTTTAGTAATTACCAGTAATTTTAGTTTTTTGTTACTTATATATCATTTCACATTGTCTTCTGCACTTTGCAGGCAAATGAAGTAATTCCTTTGTGAGAACTGCTGTTTAAGAGCGGGCTCCTTGGGGCAGAGCCTTTGCTCCTGTGTGTGCACAATGAGTGGTGTGGGGCAAAGACCAGATCTCCTAAGTGATGCAATGATGTAATCACCAACCATATTTACACATTTATGCCACATTTAGGGGCAAAAGCTTGTCGCTATCCCTTCCTTAACTGATCTGCCACACTCATGCATCATCAAGTCATCAGGCTCTATTAATTAAGTCTGCCTTCTGAAAAGGGAGAAGGGGCTGGCTTCAGGGGGACTGCCCAGTGTATGTCGAGATAGGTGTGTGTATTCTTCCTTGCCAGAGTAAGAGGTTTTATAATGCTACTTCATTTTTATTTTAACAATGATTTTATTCTGATATAAACCACCCCCTGCTGAAGATGATGGTTTATGCACTTACATCATTATGTGCAGTCGGTGAATGCACTGTTCATCGTTTGGCTGCGTCTTTGGCATGTCTTGGTGCTACACACAGAGTTTAACTCACTAAACATCTGGAAACCTGTCTACTCAGAGTGAGCTTATAGTTTGTAATGAAAAAAATGTTCCACTGGCTTTGTGGAAGTTTTATTTTAAGATTATGATTTTTACATGTGCTTTTGCAGTAGTAAATTTGTAAGAAGCTTTTGGGTGGAGGCAAGCCTTGTAAAGGGCTAAATATACATTTTCTTGTCTACAGTCATAGATTAAATCTCCCTAAAACTTACATAATACCCCAAAAATCCAATTCTAAAATATCACAGCTCTCTCCAAGTTAGTTTTCAGTTGATTTTTCTCTTAATATTCAGATTTGACATTTTATTCTAATCAGAGGAAGAGCAAAATGTTAAATTCCTGCTTTTCAGCTGTGTAATTGAAAGCAGACATGTTAGTGAGATCCAAGATGAAAATCCATAAACTAGGTTATCAAGTTACTGCAGTGTATTTATACTACTCTGACAGATTTCTTGCATAATCTCACAGCAGGTTGATGGATTTTTTTAAAAAAATATTTATTTATTGTTGTACTTTAGCCCAAATCTACATGGTTCATATCAACTTTGCATCTGTTTTTAATAAATAGTTCTGTTAATATCACCTTCTTCTATGATGCTCTCGGTAGCATTTTTCTGCAATAGAAGATGGGTCTTTTCCCTTCTGGGGCTTGACAGAAATAGAGTTACCTGGGACCATAAAATAATTTAATTTGATTTAGAGTGAGTGGTGGATAGATCTAAAGAAGTAGATGGCAAAAATCAAATCAATGAAATAGAGAATATTACTCTCATTATTTAAAAAGTTTTAGAGACTAGATGGAGATGAGATAGAGAAGGCCAGGAAAGAAAGAGATGAAATTCAAAACAAACAAACAAACAGTGCATGGGTAAGAATTTTAATTTTAGTTGAATTTAATTTAGTTCCATAGTAGATGATAGTATCACCTAGTATGGAAGAGAAAAAAAGGCTGTAGTTAATTAATATAGGTAGTAAAAAGTTATTGGTGACGGTGGACAATGACAGGCAATAAGGAAAATGAGTGAAGTTAAAAAAGAAAAAAGTAAGTAGTTCACTTTAGCCAGAAAAAGCTAAAGTTACTGTAAAGCATGCAGGAAATGCCAGAAACATGTATTTGTGTGTGGATTAATGGGAAAGAAGTAGATTGGGAATTGAGACTTAAGTAGTTAAGCCATCACATATAATTAAACTGGATAAGTGGATAACACTTCTCTGAGATGAAATGTAGACACAGGAAAACACCTGAGAAATCCTGAGAAAGAACAGAAAAATGGTCCACAAGAAGTCGTCAGCCACTTCATCAGCCACTCCTTCATTGGGAGCAACAGGGAACAGGGTGGAAGATGGTCTGAAAAGGAAGAAGGTCATCTGAAATGGAAGAATATGAAGGCAAGAGCGGGAAGGGCTAGTACAGATAAGTGAAGGGACTTGGAAGAATGAAAAGAATGTTATGGGTCATAATATTTTGTGGCATTATTTTAGGAACGTTATTCACGGTAATTTCGTGTACGTTGAGAAATAGTCAAAGTCGTATCAACAAGGGTTATGTGCTGGGATATTTCATGGTGACTGGAAGAATAAAGATCATAATAGAAAAGCTGTGAGAGTGACCTGGTCATTTATCAGATATTGCAGCGGTGGCAAGACTGGAATAACTCAGACAAAGTTGCATTAAAAGTCTTGTTTGATAAGCAGGATGTAACAACTGTAAAGAAGGATTTCCAGTGCTAGTGCTCTTCTGAATATGCCAGTGTATCTTCAGTTAATACAGTTAATCAGCCTTCCTGGCATCACATTCTTAAAAGTAAGACTTTAAATATTTTCAGGATTTCTCATTCAAATTCATTTCAGTTGGTCACATTCATTTAAAACTCTTGTTCAAAAATTGCTGAGTGACATCTGTAATTAAGTCCTGGTATTTACCAAATGAAAATAGGACTTAGAGAGGTCTTGCATTATTTTCTGTCTGATGGTAGTGCCCACAAACCATGTATTTCTTTGCATCTGCTACCATGAAAACGTGTAAGATGTTCCTGGCCAGACAATTCTCCTTTGATCCTGATGCTGTCAAAAATGTAGATCTTGGGTTGAGGAATAGAGAACATTGTCTGTTGTATCAGTGTGCAAATGAGCGTGTGATTTTAGAAATACCTTGTCTGGTGTATTTTATCTTTCTAGGACATTCTCTTGGATTTCTTAAGCATTGGAACAATGTACCATAGAAACGTGCTAGCAGCAATACGTCTGTTTGAAATGCTAACATCTTCCAGCTTTGAAGCTCTTATCACTGACTAAATTCTAAGCTCAGAGTAGTGAGTACCTCTAATGTCAATATTTTAGCAAAAATGGTAGAAGAGTTGGACTTCCGCTACAGTATGCATAATGCATTAAAGAGGAAAGTCTCATGTAAGAGAGAGAGTTTTAGCAACACTGTCTCCAAAAGGGAACATTTCCCGAATCACTTCTACATAAATATATGTAGCTAAACTTGAAACCTACTGGTGCCTTCCCACTCATTGCCTGTGAGCTCGTGGTCGTTAGTTGCTTGAACCTTGACCCACTGTGCTATAAATGTTATCCCATCTACACAGTGTTTCCAGTCTGCTCTTTAAATGTGGTAGTAACAGAATATAAGAACCTTTCATTATTGTCCACTTTCATCTTTTGTTCAGCGGTAGCCATACCTGAAGATTAGATATCTGCCATTTAAGTGGTATGTGCATAGTTATTCCTACAGATTTTCTGCTCAGAGGGCAATACAGAGACCCAAATAGGAAACTCTTTCTCCTGTAGCCATTTTACATGAGCGAATATATGGATGTTTCAGCATATACATCTTCCTACTTCAATATGTTTAATTCAAAAAAAATATATTTGTAATTATTTGTACTATTCTAACTATGTGTAATTCAAAACACTCAGACTTGTTGAAAAGCTCTTTAATGTCTATTTAAAGACTAATTTACTACAGTAAATTTTGAATCATGTCCTTTGTACAGGACCAATAATAGATCATTTATAACAACTTGTATATAAGACCTGTTAAGCATATGCTCTCTGAAGATTTAAAATGAGAAATTAAGAGAAGATGTAAATTTTATTTTAAATGAGATGGAAATCTCTTCTCCCTTCTTGTATGAAGCAAAGAGAAGGACAAATTTAACCTGAGCTTGTCAGGAAAAGATATTCTTGTTCTTCCAAATATTTGCTGGCTTTGTAGGACCACACGCTGGTGACCTTGATGAGACTGTTCTTTCAGCCATCTATGTCCATCAGAGATGTGCTTATCATTTTTTATGAGGATGTGACCATTAGGTCAGGCATTATCTACCCTGATTATCTTAGTGAAATGGACTCACAGGATTCTAGTGTTAGCTAAATTTCTCTCCATTTCTTCATGTCATCTAGAAATCTTCAAAACAGACTTAAGGTCTCACTAATTCCAGTCTGCTAGCAGAAAACCAAAAAACAAATGAACAAACAAAAAACCAACCAAACAAAAAAAACCCCAAATTTATCCAGAAAGAAAAGGGTTAAATCAATTTGTTTATGGAAAAGATGCCTGCATAAAGTAGAAGTTTTCACATTCATGGAAAGTTATTGAATTGTGAAAGAATATTTTGGAAATAGGAACAAAATGAACATTGTGTGGTGAAATCAATTTCTCCTGATATCTTTATGAATAACTAAAGCAAAATATGTCTAGAACTGAGCAAAAGTTATCAGTACTGCCTGGGAGTAGTGGGTTGGACAAGGTAGTTACATCCCTTTTTCCTGCAGTATTTTGACATCCTATAGGATGCTTCATGGTCTTTGTACAGTAAGTTGAGTCTTCTTTTTTAAGTAGCCAGTTGCCTTTTTTTTTTTTTTTTGGTAAGCTTTCCTTATTAGATATCAGACAAAATAAAATCCCATAATAAAGTCCTGCCAGAGGAAATAAGGTATGTCGCAGCATGGCATTGCCTCCCTTAAGCCTATCCTTATCTCCAGGCACAGCAGCTACCTCATCACCAGCCACCACTATCGGCAATTTTAAGATTTTCTTTTATAGCCTTCAGACACCTCATAAATTGAGGTTTGGCTGTATCTGAAAAATCCCCCTAATAGTGTGATGGCCGCTGCTGGTGTTACCAGAGCCACATTCCCCATAAATGAGTGCTCTTTAAATTTAAGAAAATTTCCAGTAAAATGTTATTAAAATGTGGCTGTTATGAAACCAGCAAAAAATACACTGACATGGCCAGCATTTCCTTTAGGGTGCTGCTGCTTTAATATGCTGACTGCATTTCCTCAGTGGTCTCAGCTATCCTGAAATAATCATACTCAGCTGAGGATTCATTTGAAGGTAAAGATCAAATGCTTTTAAGCCTGTTTATGGAGAATATCCTCTTTTTTCAGCAGCACTTGAACTGTTAGTGTTTGTCTGCCATTCCATAATGATCAAATATGATGTCTGTTGGAAGAAGCCCCATTGTTATAGGCCCCCTTTGAGAGTAAGTCTAGAGTAGTCTAGAGGAATACAGGAGAGGGACAGCTAGTGATGAATGCCTAGCATTAGCCAGGTGACATTATTTCTAGAGCAGCTAGCACTGGCAGTGGTAGATCAGGCCGAACAGTTTGTCAGCTCTAAACCGAAAAGCAGAGCGCAGCCTTGGCTAAAAGGGTGTGTTTTTGTTGATAGAGTACAGATGTAAAGGAAGGTTGGAACGCAAAGAGAATGGTTAACACAGATGGCCAGCCTGCCATTTCTTGTATCAAATTCTGGGTTTAGACTTGTGTTTCTGTGATCGACAACTAGATCGGTGAGCACTACCGGTAAGATGTTATTCCTGACAGGACAAGAAAGGTTTCCTCAAAAAGATATGCAAGCAAAGTTGAATATATAAATATATATATATGTCTGATATGAGTTCCAAAATTACTGGATGACATATTGTTTCTGAAATATGTTGGACTAGCGTTGAACTTTCACAGAGTCCATCTGCTGCCTGTGTCTGCGTATGTGCAGAAGGGATAGTCATGTTCTGTTTGCTCACATTCCATAGAGCTGAGGAGTGAAGGGCAAAGACCTGCACCACATTTTATAAGCTTCATCAGCTAATGCACTTCAAAGATGGAAAACATCTTGGTGGAGATGTGTAACTTTGGCCCTTGGACCTGGACTCACTTCCAAAGTCATACTCAACCGTAGCTGTTACAGGGGCTGGGGAGTAGCTGAATATGATGGTAACCACATTGCTTGGTGTGTTGAAGAACTGAAATACTTCAGCAGCATTAGCTTGATAAGTGTACCTATGTGCAGGTATAGCTTTCGCTTCAATACTATCATCAGTGATAACAATTTGTAACTGTTTAGTAGACAGATCAGCACTAAGCAATGAACAGCTATCTAATCCTGGACTGTACATAGGCTTTTCCATCATCAGCAGCTCTACTGAATGGCTACTACTGTAGGCTGCTGCTTAAAAAATCTTCCATTTTCTGATCTAGTTAGAATGTTTGTACCATAAAAATTACCCAGTCATTTTTACTTGTTTTTGCACAGTTCCCTGAAACAGTTCATGGTTTTTCATTCCAGGAATCATGCTTTTGGGTAACATTCTTACGCTTATCTTTCTTTTTCAGAAAATATTCACTGTAGCAGCTGAATAAGCAATTATTACATCATGCAAGTCTAAGGTTGTACAGATTTTAACCACATTTCTGGCTTTGAACTCTCACACAATATGGGAGTCCTGGTAAGATTAGTAAACTACCTTTTTAAAAACAACCGTATGCTGCTACACGTTTTGCCTGTGTAAGCATAGTTCATAGTTATCATCATGTGCCCAGGATTTTAATTTGTATGACCTTTAATCACTGAGTATCTAATAGTATATTTAAAATAGTGAATATGTAATGTTAGCTATTGTCATCACGACAACTTTGATAAAATTGGAGATGTGAGTTCTAGGTGTGTTTCTACTGTCCTGTTCCCAAGCCTCCTGAAATCTCTCTTGGTATGCTATGGATGCCACCTTTATAGCAGGAGAAGCTCTTATCCAGCTACTACCATACTGACATGTAGTTTTCAAGACTTGAGTGCTTTTACCCTGCTATACATGCTGCTGTATATGGAAAAGGTAGTAACGGAGCAGCATTCAGTTTTATTCAAAAAAGTCTTGGATTTTCCTCTGAATTAGTCAGCTTGGAAAATGATTACATCTGAGTGCAAGGAATGTAAGCACATTACCATCTTGTTAAGTCTTAGACTTCTCTTCATCTTTTTCTGTCTCATGATGTCAAAAAGCCAAGTGATTTCTTCACACAAACTTACAAAATAGACCACACAGTGTGTATCTATGTATGTTATAACCTTCCTGGAGGATTTCTTCCTCCAAATGAAAAGAGCATGTTTTAGTTGAACTCAGACAGTGCCATTGGTCTTTCCCAGAAATGTCTTGTCTCTTGGATTCCTGGCATTTCTCTGGCTGACTTGTCTGAAATGTTATGCACTTAGTGTAGCAATTCAAGAGGCACCAGGCTCAGAAGAGCAACGCTGTAATTGCTATTTGATCATCCTTGGCGCTCAGGGGCTAAGGAATGCCATGAACCAGTCATTTGCTGTGAAAGCCACATGGTCACATTCTGAGGGAAAAGAGAGTCATCTTCCTGCAAAGTGAAGGGAGATTCTTGGGGATGGTGTAATCAGAAGAGTTTCCGTCATCTGCTTTTCACATCCCCTGCCTTTCAGACGCCGAGCATCACAAACTTGTAGTTGTGAGAACTGAGGATGCAGCATGACCGCCCCATGCTGTTGGTCCCCTGGAGGAAGTATGAGGAGGCACAAGTGGCCTCCATATGAATTGCTTGCCCAGAGGCTTCCAACTGGGAGCCACATGTATATGCACATGTTCAGTGGAGTGTGCAACACTGGAAAAATGCAGTTGTGGGATGATAAGTCTCTCCTGTTTCTAAACACTCATTAACAACTTCTGATGCCAAAAAAAAAAAAAAAAAAAAAAGAAGTCGACGTCAAAGCTGATTCCAGTGAGATCAGAATTCAAGCCCAGCAGCGTGAGACAAGCACTTTCTGGGCTTTTGTAAGAATAGACATGTGTCCACAAATGGCCCAACTGCAAAGCAGAGCAAGAGAAAATGTTTTTCACTCTTTCCTTGTTATGCTTCAGAAGAAAGGCCTTGAGGGTGGAGTCCTTTATTTTACTGCTTGTTTTTCACTTCTCTCCTCTCTCCAGAGGTCTCTGGCAAGCTCCTTGGAGGAGACAAACTGTGATGTCATGACAAAAATGAGCTTGGATTGCACTTCTCCCTCCACAGGCTCCCCCATATCCTTCGCCGCCTGGATGCGCTCCTGCAGCCGAGGCTGCTTTGCTTGGCCTGCTTTGAGTTCTTGAGTTATTTGGTTGAAGTAGAGGTGTGTTGCCAGAACTGGGAGGGAAGAAGCGATGTCTAGAGCCAGGGATTGTCCTTTTGGGGAGGAACTTGGCTACAGACTCTGTTGTAAAAAGCTCTGCAAAAAAAACTATGGCTAGCTCGATGCTCAAATTAAATATGAATCATTTTTCAACAGGAGGATGATTAATGGCAGGCAACAACACTAAAAGCATGGCTATTTGCAACACATTTTATAAAATTCAATGCATCGAATATTTGTTTGCGGTATACTGGCAGGCAGAGAGCATCAGACGGGGACTCTATTCCCAAAGAAGACATCAGACGCTGCAGATCAAATTCAGGGCTTTCACCACAGGCAGATATTTACAAGGCTGATTCTCCCTGTAGCATTATAAACTACAGTCAGCTTTCAGACACTGGCATGAATTCAGGGTGCACTGAGGAGTTCAAGAGAAATAGCTGCTTTGACCTCAAAGAGCAGGATTTTGCCCCTTATTTTGGATATGTGAGTAAGGCTGGAAGGATATCCCAGGTCACAGAGTACAGAGCTCTGTTACAAATTAACATTTAATGTAATTATACGTTTATAAATTTAATGAGTTTCTTATTTAAAAGTGCTTAGTTTATTTGCTCTTATGATTTGCACTGTTGTTTACTGCTGAACTATTTGTTAACAAGAACCACATACTTTCACAAGCATCACTTATCTAGACTTAAAATGCTGTATTTCTCACAGCTTCTTCTTACATAATAGGCCTTTGATTTTGCTGAACATCCTCCTGGCCTTTCTTTACACTTCATGCGTTTTGATTTAATCTTACAGAGGGATTGCAGAGTTCTGGAGTGCAGAGGACATGTCTGGCCCAGTGTCATGGATAACTGCCTTAAGGGAATGAGTTGGCTGATTCGTCTTAAAACCTCTCTCTCTCTTCATTTTTTTTTTTTTTTTTTATGTCGTGCTTTCAATTGGTGGACTGGAATCATCAGGAATATAGGTTGTGTGTGGGTGTTTTCTCTGAAAGCTACTGAGTTAGTGGAAAGGGTAACTTCTGTACTTGCTTTTAGCTGCTTTCCACATTCCTGCATTTGAAGATTTGCCAGGTGAGGTACTCCTACTCCCAAACAGTTTCAGACAGAATTAGTGTGATCATAAGCAAGGTGAATAATAATTCCACTTACTTTGATCACATCAGGTGCAGAGATAGGTGTGTGTACAGAAGGCGTAGGTAGGCTAGGCAGCAGGAGCAACTTCAAAACCAGTATAGAGAGATCTGGAGGAGATCCAGGAGATGTGAGGGACATTTGTCCTTCCCAGAGTCTGCCAGAAGCGATTTGTGAAGATGACAAGTCTTGAATACAATGCTGCTGTTTATTGAATTTTACACCTTGTAGATGTCTTGGTGCAAAATTTAAAAAAAAAAAAAAGAGAAGAGAAGATCATGAGAAGTTTTGTGTGGTCCAGCATCAATAACTGGCTTAGGAATGACTCAGTGTATACTGCCTGGTGTGCCACCAGCTTGCTGTGCCATTTTGGGTGAGTTATTTCATCCATCTATATTAGATTCTCCATCAATAAGAAGGAAATGAGATTTACTTTCAGCTCTGCACTGCTTTGAGACTTACAAATGAAAAGGTCTTATTTATTATTCTTTAAAGTAATCAATAGTCAGAAAGCATATGAAGTAGGGAAAATGTTAGGAACCTGCCCATCACAGTAAGCAGCTTTCTTCACACTGACTCCATATTTGTTATACAAGGTTCTCTTCAGTGTCTGGACTGTAAGGTAATTAATAGGAAAATGTGACTCTTGTTTTATTCCAAGTTTTAATATACCTGCTGTGCGGTGAACTTTTGCACTTGCAATATGAAGCAGACATGTAGTGCTTGTCAGTTCATTAACAGTGTTTAGTTTTCTCGAATTAGACTTTTGCAAAAATCATGCTCTGCACAAATAATTATTGTCAGTGCGCTTTTCCTCTGACTCTTAGGATCTGTGTCATTTGTCATCAATATTAACTGTTCTTTAAAATGTCAAGTGATCAAAATACATCTTTTCTCCTGCCTCTCTGCACAAAACAACATTTTTACATTTGTAGACGTACTTTAGCTTAAAGCAGATTAACTGGATTAGCTCTCATTACAAGTTCATTTACAGAACCTTTTTAACTGAGATTATTATCCAGCTAATCAATTTTAATATCTTTCTTTGGTATCAGACAGTTATTTGTTTTATCCTGTATTCTTCAGGATTTTACAAGGCTGCTTATTGCTACTGCCACCTTTGATAAAAAGAGAACAATCTGACAGAGCCTTTTATAATCCATTTCTGTATCATCGGAGCTATGTTGTGTTGGAGTAGTGTGGTCTTCTTCCTGCATCTTTATGTGGAAGAATGAGGATCCAGATATATATCCAATGCTGGGGCTGGTTGCAAGGTGCTGGTGCATGCCCTACCTTTTGGAAGGATGTGCAATTCTCTCCACATACTGGGGAGGGAAAAATTAGCCGCCCCTCAATTTATTCTTCTTATGATGGGCAGATGCAATACCATTTAAGATCATATTAGATATATTTGTCTTTTTTTTTTTTTTTAGTTCGTTTCTTTCTTTCTGCAGACCTCTCAATGGAAGAGTGCTGTGACAAGGGTGTTGAGTGGGCAAATAAAAACAGAAGATGTGCTTCTCTACCATTAACGTCCGAGTCCAGAGAATGCAGGTATGTAATTATGCATTGTCTGTTACACCGTAGTTTATATTTTTATATAAAACCATGGAGAATGCGAGGTGTGAATCTTATAATAAAACGAGGCACCTAGCTCTTAAATCTAAATTTTCCAAATTCATGTCAAACTTTGGAGAAACCTAGGTTACCTAAGCATCTACTTTCTCCTATCTTCAGAAAAGCTTCCTCAATATATACAGACTGCAAATCTAGCGCAGCAGTGGTACAAAGTCCTGGTAGAAGCCTTTAAAGGACTGAAGCAGGTATTGTACATATATAACCTACAGGATGCATATAAATACATGTGAGTGTATGCATGTATGCTTGACAGTCTTTTAAAACTGTGTCTCCTGTGGATACTTAAGGAACTCAAACCTTAAGACAAGGCGCCCCCTTGTTACTTAGAATATATGACTTGTGTCAAATGCATTTAACTGTAGGAAAAAAGTAATCTTTAGTTAATAAATAGATTTCTTGATTCTACTGACATTGATAGGATACTGATTTCTATTGCGAAATCTAGGGAATGAACTAGTGAAGTTAGTGTTGTTTGTAAAGTAATATTTTCGTTATGGATAGTTATATTGAATCTCTTATGTTATTGGAGATATTTGTGTTCTTTCTGTTAATGATAGTTCACATTATATGTGCTGTGAAATACACTTGTTACATTTAATTTGTGGAGGTAATAATTTGTGGTTGGTAGTTTGAAAAGGAGATGGACTGAGCATTTTATATTTCTCCATTTAAAACACATTACCTTGCTCTCCTGAATCTTTTCAAATGAATTGCAAAGTGGTTTTAGTTTGGTAATTGTAGAAGTGTTGGAGTGATCTTTGTTATGGAAAGAATGTGTCTTGAAGTCAAGTCTGTCCATGTTTTCTGATTTTTGCATTTATATTGGCATTGAAGGCTGTCTCTTATGCAGAAGAATTGACAGATAGGACTTAAATTCCAATTTAGGAAATACTTGAAGAGTCAGAAGAGTTATAGGCAAAACTAAGATGGGAAAAACAGGAAACCGAATCTATTGAACAATCTGGGAGCAAGGATCTTTATAATTTAATGATCACTTGATTAATGTGAGTTGAGAATCTGCTATAAATGTAATTTATTGTTTCAAAGGTTGCAATCTTAGAGAGACTTTTATTCTTCATGGGAAAACAGGAAAAAAAAAAAGCTTACTAATTTCATCCAGATTTTATGCATGGACAAAACTATCCTAGACATTTTGAGTAGGCAGCAGACTGCAGTCTAATGAATTAAATTATGTAAAGGTAAATTAATAATGGTATGTAAATGTAAATTAATTCAGTGTGTCAGTCTGGGCAATAAGACAGGAAAGTGCATTGCTGACAAAAATAGAAGAGAGAAATTCAGTTCAGCTGCAGGGACTCATGATTATAGCATAAATAAAGATAGCTCTATCTGAGGCCTGGCTGCTCTCTAAAAAATGCCGCCTTTGACTACTTTCTTTAATGGCAATATCATTTTATTTCAGGTGTGATCACAAGCCAGCACTTCCATGAAAGATATCGCAGAATCACTTTCTTATGCCTTTTCAGAAAAAAACAAAAATAAAAAAATAAAAAGGGTCAAATTTTCTTCCTAATTACCAGTGTAACTGGAGTCAAAATGTAAAGTGAGGGAGAATGTTCTCTTTTCAAGTAAACTGCAGTAATTGCGTTTATTTTGTTAATGTCTTCCTACTGCACAGAGATGTGAACAAAATTAAACCCAGATTCATTACGTTTTCTGATATGTAAATATGGGAGAATATTTAAATGGGATTTTTTTTTTAAATGGCTCAGGGTGCTTTATTGGTTACAGACTTTAAAAAGAGCTTCCTTCCTATTTAACCACTTCTGTGCAATGAGCTGTGGGGAGAAGGGGTATGAGGAGAAGGCAGAATGAAATCTGGCTTTTATTTAGTTGCCTGAACCACAGCTGGGATCTTTTGAGTATTTAGTGCAGTGTGGTGTTGGACAAACTATAAATCATCTGACTTTGGATGCTTTAAAAAATGTGGCTTGTTGGGTGTATAATCCTGTATTACTTCATACCAAAGGGAGCTTTTTTGCCTGTTTATTTGCAAAGTTGGCAGTTGAATACACGGGAAAATATGTTGTGGAGTGAGCAGATTTGATGAAGTTAGTGAAGTAAAAATGATTTCTTGCAGTTAGATTGCTAAGACACTGCAATACAAAAAGGGTTGGACGTAAGCAAGTACTTTTTCCAACAAGTTTGCAAGGATTTGCCTAGTTTTTTGAATCCTTTGCTTAGAATATTGATAGCATAAAACCATCTCCAATTTAATCCTTTCCTCTAAAGAAGATCCTTTGAGAGTTTCTAACCTCCCTTTCTTTTGTATGGGTAAAGAATAAGATGCTTTATTGAGTCAGAAGTACTCATTAAGGTTTTTTCCAGCTTTTAAATCACATTTATAGGAATGAAGGAGGGCTTCCACCCAAAACAGACACTCTAATACCTACTTTGCTTCCTACAAAGGAAGGTTCTGTGTTTCAACATAACTTCATGATCCATCCTCAGAAGTCCGTTACCACTCTTGAAGGACTTGCCGTATGTATCCTCTCTTTTGCTGTCTACATGAGCATCACTCGCTGAACGTGGTGCAGTTCAGGCTGCCAGTGCTTCCTTATTCCATACCACAGCTGAGCCGACACCCGGTCTGAACTTCCAGGGAATTTGTAAGGACTATCTGGCGACTGTTACTCAGTTACCTTTAAGTTGAAACAAGGCTTCTGCATCAACGTTCAGCCACATGTACAATCTTGTATCATGGTTGTTTTTTTGTCACAAATGAGTTCATGTCGTGACATCATCATGGGGGCCTTTCTTCATCCCTTCATGACCCGATAAATAGGAGCGTAGAGTTTTAATGCACATTGTCTTTGACTTTCTTTGACACCAGCTTGTTGTCCATTCATCCATTTCCTTTTGATGTGGCCAAAAGCTGCAAACAGCTGCCATTTATTTTTGGAACTCAACCTGCCCAATCAATCACTTTCCTTTCAAAATGTAGACTTTCCCCTGCCCAACAACTTCTTTTAGCAAGTGAACCTAATTCCTGGGCCAGCAATAGCATAGCTCCATATGGGAATTGCATACCTTTAGCACTGTCCAAAATCTTTCTGGCATTACACTGGAAATAATATTATTGATTAGTAGTGTCGCAAGAGTGCATTCGAGAAGGAGCTACAGAAAATGTGACTAGGTCCTGTACAAACATGCAATGAAAAGACGATCTTTGTCCTCTGAAGAGACAAGGGGCAGCTCTTTGATAAGGATGCAGGCTGGAATAGCAGAAAATAATTTCCATTTTCAGCATGTGTGAGAATATGGTCGAAAGGTCCTGGAGAATGGGGAAGGTGTGGAGGGCCAGTGTCATACTGGCCATACTGGTCTTCAAAAATGGCAAGAAGGAGGACCCAGGCAACTGTAGGCCACTCAGCCTCACCTCCATCCCTGGAAAAGTGATGGAACAGCTCATGCTGGCTGTTGTCTCTAAACATGCGGAGGACAAGAGGGTGCTCAGAAGTAGTCAGCATGGATTTTATTCCGTGACTTGCTTCATGGACCTCACTGGGACTGTGACAGAGCCAAGGGGAAACCAAGGGGAAGTCATGCTTGACTAACCTGATAGCCTTCTATGATGAAATGTCTGGCTGAGGGGAGCCAGATGAGGGCAGAACGGTGGATGTCATCTATCTGGGCTTCAGCAAGGCTTTTGACACAGCCTCTCACAGCATCCTCCTGGGCAAACTCTGGAAGTGTGGGTGAGATAAACGGATACTGAGGTGGATTAACAAGTGCCTGGATGGCAGAGCCCAGAGGGTGGTGATCAGCGGTGCAGAATCTAGTTGGAGGCCTGTAGTTAGCGGTGTTCCCCAGGGGTCAGTCCTTGGTGTAGTCTTGTTCAACTTCTTCATCAGTGACCAGGATGAAGGCACAGAGTGCTCCCTCAGCAAGTTTGGTGACAATACGAAACTGGGAGGAGTAGCTGATACCCCAGAGGGCTGCGCTGCCATCCAGAGGGACCTGGACAGGCTGCACAAACTGGACAGGGAGAAACCTCACGAAATTCAACAAGGCCATGTACAAAGTCTTGCACCTGGGGAGGAATAGCTGCAGACGCCGGTACAGGCTGGGGACTGACCTTCTGGAGAGCAGCTCTGCAATGAAGGACCTGGGCACCATGGTGGACAACAAGTTGACCATGAGGCAGCAGTGTGCCCTCATGGCTAAGAAGGCCAATGGGATCCTGGGGTGCGTTAAGAAGAGCTACCCCTCTACTCAGCCCTGGTGAGGCCACATCTGGAGTATTGTGTCCAGTTCTGGGTTCCACAGTACAAGAGGGATGTGGAGCTACTGGAGAGAGTCCAGTAAAGGGCTACAAGGATGATCAGGGGTTTGGAACATCCGCCCTATGAGGAGAGACTGAGGGAGCTGGGCCTGTTCAGCCTGAAGAAGAGAAGGCTGAGAGGGGATCTAATCAGTGTCTATAAATACCTCAAGGGAGGGAGTGAGGAGGACGGGGCCAGCCTCTTTTCAGTGGTGGCCATCAGCAGGACTAGAGGAAATGGCCACAAACTGAAGCACCAAAAGTTCCACAGGAACTTAAGGTAAAATTTCCTAACGGTGAGGGTGACAGAGCTCTGGAACAGGCTGCCCACAGAGGTTGTGGAGTCTCCTTCTCTGAAGATCTTCAAAACCTGCTTGGATGCAGTCCTGTGCCACGTGCTCTAGGTGACCCTGCGTGTGCAGGGGGGTTGGACTAGATGACCTCTAGAGGTCCCTTCCAGCCTTAAGCATTCTATGATTCTATGAAAAAATATCCTCTCTTGATTGATAATCAAACTGCTTAGTTATGAAGTAACTTCAATTCTAGATCAAAATCAAAATCTGCAACAAAGAATGTGTATTTTTTGAATGTTTGAATGTTTTCTAGGTGCTAGTGAGCCAAATATAATTCACCTTTCAGAGAGACCAGAAAAAAAATATTACCTTGAAATACACTGACTGAATGACTGTCATGCTACCATATTGTAATGATAACATTACAATACATAATGTAATTCTGTAACCAGAATTGCAAAGTTTCCATTTTTAATATTTTTGATCACAGTAAGATTTCAGCTATATTGTAGCATTTAAGCTGAAAATCAGAGTATTGCACATAAAGAAGTGACCTTTGACTTTTTTAATGATTAGGAATAATTAAAAGAATAACAGAAAAGTCCATCTTTAATTTCTCTTTTTTAGAGACCATTATTGTAAGATGTCCAGAGACCTGAAGCTAATAGGAGAGCTACATACGAAGAGTTGAACGGTTTTACACAGACAAGGAAAGACAAATCTAAGTGTCCTATTGACCATTAGAGATAGTTCCTTTACTCTGCTCTGAAGTAGAAAGGAGGGTATGTAATATATTAACGTGCAAGCTAGGGACAGGAGGAGTAATCTTCATCTCAGATGTCTTAGGGGCTAAAGAGCTTATGGTACAGTAAGAAGACCATCATGACATGAGCTGACAAAGGAGAAGGGATGGCAAGGACTGGGCAGACTCAGTTGCAGTTGGAAGACCAACTGGAAGACCAGTGTGGATTTTTCTAGCATTTTTCTCTGACTCTTCCAAGGATTTCTATTGCTGTTACACCCCCTTAGGTGCTTACAGTCTCAAGGAATTTTTGCTACTAACCCAACTGCACTGCAGAATTTGGGCAATGGAGTTTGATTTTGTTGTTGTTTTTCTGAGAGTGAACAAATGGTCTTTTAATCCAGTATTTCAGTTCAAGTGATGTTTGATTTCTGGTTGCAGTCAGAGTGAGGCACACATGATTTATAAATAAAACTGATGGGGAATATCTGAAGAACTTTTTATTGTTGTTTTGGATGGAATTGCCAATTTTCAGGGATTTCAAAGAGTTGACTTGTATTTGGAAAAACAAAAAAAGCACACGGGAAATCAAACAGATCTACTGAGTAACCTTTTTTGTTGTTATTATTATTTGTTTGTTTGTGGGTAGCATATCTAGCTGCTCAACAGGACTTAAAGAGCTAAAGAAGCTGGAAAGTCTTGGCTCCCACACTCTTGGACTTGAAGTTTAGTTTTATAGGCTTCCAGAGTCCTGACAGGCAGACCACCCCAGAGCTGGGCAGGGAATGGAAATTCTGCTTCAGAGGGAATTTCAGCAACAAAAAAGCTACATGGTCTTCCAAACTGAAACTGAATCAAATATCAAAAACCTGAAATACTCTGCCAAATAAAGTTACCATGCTGGGCTTAACTTCTTGCTATGACCTTAGAGTTTATTTTTGAATGATTTGTTCATGAACTTTTCCTATGCATTGAAATCTCATTGGCGTTTTTATCCAAGTGAAATTTGCACAGTCAGATTGTTACAAGATCCAATGAATAAGAATCCGGAATCTTCAGGAGTGGAGCCCGCCATCCTTATGTTACTAGCGCACACAAGTGAAGTACCTACATGATTCTTGCTTTTAGTGGGTTGGACTGACTGGCCCAGTTCCAGGAGTAGGGAGTTCCTCATGCTGCCTGCGAGTTGGAAGTTCCCCCTATAACCATCAGGACAGGGAGGCTCTTGCAAGGTTAGTTCACTGGAATCTGCTCTCTGATGACCATAATAGAAGCTTGCAGTGCTGTGGTGTGACTAATCTGCCTTCTCTAGACATCCAAAATTTCCAGCAGCCTAGGGAAAGGGTTTTTAAGAATTTATTTAAAAGGAATTGGTTTTCTGATATCCTTACATGATTTTACGTATTTTTAGGTAACCCTATTTTACACTTGAGTTCAAGCAATCAGAATTGAAAAACAATAAGGTGAATACCATTAGCAGGGAGGAGAGTGTGTTCAACTTTGTTAGTCTGTAAGAGATATAAGGTTTCCCTGGCCAGTGGATTTAAAAATTAATTCAGAGGGTTTTTCTGTAGTTTTTTAATGCATCTCTGACATATCAGAGCATGTCTTTCAGGTGTCCTTATTGTGCTGTATAGAGTGTATAAGTGTGGTTTGCCTTCAGGATAATTTCCTTTCACCCTTAGCAGCTCATGCAACTTTATTCTCAATGAAAGAGGTTTGTTATAAAACATACGGATCTGTTCAGATCCTTGTATATGTAATCAGATTTTTTCCTATTCTTTAAGTTTTTTTCCTATTCCCCCAAGTCTATTACAGGAGCTAGAAGTGGAGAAGCTTTAAATTGGAAGCTCTGCCCACAACACTACCCAGCAAAATACAGTTGCTCATGGGAGATATCTCCTTGAATGATGGACTTGGCACACAAGTGGCAGTGACGACAAGAGCGGAGGAGTTTCAAGCCTTCTTTCTTATTTCTCCTCCTACCCAGGAAATGGAGATACAGTTGCCAATGTATTAACTGAAAGCAAGATAAAACTAATATTATACGATGAACAGTGGAACTAACAACATTGAGTCCCCTGTTTATTTTCAGCCTATCTTTTCCTTGCAAGGCAGACAGGCAGTTTAACTCTTTTAAATGTGTTACCTAGACATTCCGCCTACACCCAAGAATATTTCAACATTGCAACTAAAATGCTCTCCTCTTTCTTTGAGACTAGTGCAAATGCTCTTTGTACTTGCTGCACTGTATATTCTGGGACTGAATATGGTATTCTTCCCCCACTGCTTCCATTCTCTCCTCAGCATGACTCAGGTGCAGTGCTGCCGCAGCAAGTTGGAGGAGCGCTACTGCTCAGACGGGATTGAATTTGCCAACGTGCATGAAGAGTGTGACTCGCATATTAGTGAAAATTCTACCTGTGAAGCTGAGTACTTCAAGGTGAGACTTTGGAGTAACTCCTTTTTTTTCCCTAGGGAATGATGTATTGACAATCTAGAATAATACTAAGGTTTGACCCAAAGGTCACCCTCCTCAATCTGTTGTGCATAAACTGCTCTTGGTCATCTACATCTACTGGTGAAACTGGTGTTGCTGGTTGTCACAGAATAGGCATCATGATTTTGTCCCACAGTGGAGTGGGATGGGGGAGCCACTAAGGAGTCATCTGTCATCAGCGTCCGGAGTGTTCTCGGCTGTCAGTAGGGCTGCTGGCACGTGCATCCTCACCCTTTCGCATGGAGATTCTTCTGTGCAGCCTGCGGAAGGCTGTGCACCCCCATCTAGATTTAGTATGAAATAATATTTAGCCCTCAGTGTCAGTACCCTGAAGGTCTCTGAATGGATGAGGAACGACACTGAGAGGAAGTATTCTTCAGATGCAAGTGCTTTCTAACAGATAAACATTTATAACAACAGCATTACTCTAAACAGATGCCAAGGGACGATTGCAAAACAGAATACAACTGTTTGAGGAAACCCACTTTTTTATCATTTGATTGGTGTTTCTGTAAGTGAGCTTGTTAGCACGAGGTAAAGGATTAATGATGTTGGCCATACTTCTTTAAACAGGGCAGGTTTTCATGCTGACAGCTGTGTTATTAAATAAAATGGACTAGGCCTTGATCCGTGGTCCTGAGAATAAGTGGCTCAGCACAATTCGTGTCACGTAACTAAATAGCCTTCCCCCTTGAAAAACCCATTGGTCTTGTGCAAAACATCTGTTGTGAACATTCTGGTCTGTGCTAACCTCAAAATGTGCTTCAGTGTTGTTGGAAAGGATGCTCTCTGCCATTAGAGCTTGCAATATTTGAAAAGTAGAACAGTAGAGATAATTACAGAATGATGTTTGAGCCCATGTTCTGTCCCTGTTTAATTGTCTAGTATAGGCATAGTCATTGACATGTAATCTTAGCCAGATTCTGTTACTCCTAGACAGGATTGTCATATACTTGATAACCTTACTGGGTTAGCAGCCGGAATATCTTTGTAAAGTGTCCTTGATCCATGATGGATATAAATGTTTCATGATCTGGTATTAGTGAATAATTTATCATTGCTTTTGTTGAATGTATTTTGAATCTGATGACCCTGACGCTGAGACATACACCATATCTGGTGACTCTTCCCTGCAGTGACAAATAAACTCTAGCTTTCACATCTAGCCCATCTCACATGTGCTTGGATATGCACATGGTACACTTTGTTTTGGTCTAGGTAGCATATGAAATCTCTTGGATCTTCTTGTGCCTTCAAGGAAGCAGTAAGAATGATTTAGTGATTAGACGGAATAATTGCAGCACTTTGCAGCAAATAAGGCATCTAACCTTTCTGTCAAATCCCAAACATGCAATTGAAAAGAAGATAAAAAGGCCATATTCTGAATACAGTCATTTCAGCTTTTGCCTTTACAGGCTGTAGGCATAGATAATCATGGACATAATTCTATTCCCCCAGTTGTTTGGAAGCCTATTTTTTCTTGTTTTGGAAAAAAAGAAAAAAGAAAAAAAAAAAGGGATGTGAAATGGATGCCCATTTAATCATTTAAAATCTTGAAAGTCTTCCTCAAAGGACAGTAATGAAATTCCAGATTTGTTGCTGATATAGGATATTCAGAAAAAGTGATATGAAAGCTTCTGCCACAGCAAAGTTGCAAATGGGGAGAAATTTCACTTTATTTAAAGTGCTTGGATATCTTCCCAAAAAGTCTGTCATAAGTACTTTGTTTTTCCAGAGATCAGGATCTGCCCTTACCTCTCCCATTTTGTCAAGAATATTTTGTAAAGGACATTATTACCCTGGACTTATGAATATATTTTTACCCTTGTCCAGATCTTCAGAAGTTGTAAACATTTCCACTGAATTAGTTGCTTTGTTTTTCAGACTATTTTTCCTAACATCTGCTAGTTAGTGTGGTTTTCAGCAAATGGGAGACCTCTTGTGGACAGCAACACAAAAACACTGTTTATAAATGATTCATCCTTGAGTTTTATAATTTACCTGGTGACAGAAGTAATGAAGGGTTCTGATGAAATTTATCTAATTAAGAGAGCTTACTGATGAAAGCCATTTGGGATGCATCTTAATGATACTAAAAATACATCTTTAGACATGTAACTGCTGGTGGTCTGAAGCGTATATGCAAGCTTCATTTTCACGCTGGTAAACCTCTCATTTTCCGCTCAAGCTAGTTAACCCCAGTTCCCAGGGCAGTACAGCAAAGGTCTCACTTTGAAACAAAAGTATGAAATGTAGTATGTGCTTGCCTTCCTATGCTTGGCCCTTTTTGTGAGAAGACAAGGTATATGACAATATAAGGGAAGAGTGAAGATTGAAAATGAGATAAAGATCAAAGCACAGCTTTACAACTGCATGGGCTCTTGCTAATGTTGGAGAGGAGGCAAAGGAAAAATATTTATTATCTGGATCACTTCAGAAGCAAAGACTTAGAAGCAGTGAGAATGAGTAATAAATGCTGGGTGGTTTTGTAGTACCATCCATTAAGGGCAGAGATGTTTCTAGCAAATGGATGGATGATCAGAACGTGCCTACAGGCAGCTGGAAACCACTTGGAAAATAATGTGCAAACACATCAAGAACTGAGCTAATGTGGAGTCTAGACAGCACTCTGACCTTAGAGGTCAGTGTCTTTCAGAACAGCCTAACAGCCCTGAAAAAAATGGTGTGAAAAAGCAAATATTGAGATTAATCTTACTGTGATAGTAGTAGTTGTCATGACGCAGTGCTTTGTATCTCAGAATAACAGTGTTCTGTGACCATAAATCAAACTAGACTTATCACTGCTATGTTATTTTGATTCCTTTTCCACCGTGGGCAAACTGAGGCAAAAGGAGAATAAGTGACTCCAAATTCACAGGTGAGGTATTCAGGGGAGCATGCAGGTCTCCAGATTCCAGGCTGGGTGATGCGGCCACAGGACTATCCATCACCATCTGAGTCTCTTTTTTCTTTAATTTCCTTAGCCTTTAGGACTGTCAGAAGCGTCAATTAAGATAACATTGACACTTTCCATCTCTTCTTAGTTTAGACCATTTGGCTGTGATGTATCTACATAAACTGTTATCAATATCAAGATGTTTCATCTAAATTTATCATGCACATTAAACACAGGTTTGAGCAAATGGTTCAGAGCATACAGTTACATCGAATGAAGATGTAGTTTCTCACAGACGTGGCAAGGCATAGCAAGGTCTATCCCTGGAGATTTACATTAGCTGGAGACAGTTTTCAAGTGCTAGCTCCACCTGGTTGAGATAAAGAATAAAAGATTTTTCAGCACCTCAAAGACAGCAAGATGACCATTCTTTACCCAAAAAAAAAAAAAAAAAAATCAGAGAACTTCTGTACCTCCTTATTTGAGCTTTGTTTGTTTGATAAGACAAAGAAATGTGAGCAAGTCAATTCATATGCCTTACAGTACAAGCTAGGGAGGATATTCAGAAAGATATGATGTCACAATTTGGCAAGGCATCAGCTGTATTCAGTAACTTAAATAAGATTTGGTTATCAGAAATATGCAAGCTTTCTTTTCTTCTAATTTATGGCTGTGAAAATTGGAAATCCACCAAAATTTTAGACCAAATGTCAAAAATATTTAGAAAGATGCCTCAGGAAAACAATACATGTTAGACAGAATAAATACTCAGAAATGTTGCAATTCTTGGAAGAGATCATCATGTCTTTATTTCAGAAGTCATCCGGAGAAGATGAAGTTTCCTAGATGTGTTAGAGATGAAGCCAAAGCATCAGCCATCACATGGATATAGTGAGAGAACCAAGTTAAATAAGTGGGTAGTGACGAACTGTTCCATCAAATAGTAGATAATAAGGGAAAATATGTGTCTTAATAACAGTGGGGGCATGTAAAGAAGACCCCAGCACTGGCAGGGAGGGAAGAGTTCTTGTCACATAGCATTTTACAGCAGGAGAAAGATTCAGTTGCATATGTAAAAGGCAATAGTGTGCTTTATGAAGCTTCAACTTCTGCAAAGTGAAAAAAGGTGAAAAATTGTTTTATCTTCATATTGCTCTAGGCTTTAAAAATGATTTCACTACACTTCAGAGACATATATATAATGTCTTATAAAGGGAAATTGAGAAGAGAGGTGTAAATCTCAAAGTAGTGAGACTTAACTGCGGTCTTCCTTTCATGAAATTAGTTTAGTTCAATGCTTTGTTATTTTATATTCCATCTGCTGTTTGTAATGGTGAAGAATATTTTCTTCAAACAAAAAAAAAAAGCCTGAAGTATAATAGAAATAGCAAGAAAAGCTTAAATCTGCTTTTTACATCCTAGTAGCAGTTGGCAGACATCAGTTTCAGAGACCCAAACATTTTTACTGCTTTCTAACAGCAAGGAAGAAAACTGAATAACTGATCAATAGCTCCTCAACTTAAAGTAAAATGAAAGCTACACAGAAATTACCTTATCCTGTTTTCACTTCAGCCGTGTATTCCTGGGACATAGTCAAGAAGGTCTAGAAGAGGTGGGTCCTGTTTCACCCCTGGGTGCCACATAAGGACTTCGATGCTGTTAAGTACCGAGTAGTGTTTGACCATGCGGTCTGTTTTTTTGGAATAGAATATTTTCCCTCTTTACGACCTGTTCACAGTAATTTTATGATGGATCGTGTTTGTTTGCTTGTTTGTCTGTTAGTTTTGAATATTTTTTGCTGGGAAGGTATTTTAATCATAAACTGAGGCACTTCACTGGAAGTTTCCCTGTTTAATTAATCTGGACAAAAAGGGAAGTCAAGGTGTTACAAAGCCCCACAGTTTGCTGGTGTTTCAAGATGTGGCATGTAGGCAGGGAGGAATCCAGTTCCAGGTGTGTTCTGATTTCTGATCTCATTGTACTGGCACACTTGTGAGTACACACACTCACATATACACAGTATTTGTGGGAACTGTATCCAGGTTCTGGCTTTGGTTTACATCTTTTCTGTGCAGGCCAGATACAGAACTCACAAACTCAACTACTCATTAGAAAGTCTGAGCTTAAGTACACCAGGAGCACATAAATATTATGCAGAAAATTTTCCATCAGTTCATTAGGTGAGCTGGCAGTATGGACAGTACTGACAGCATTTGCATTGATTTGTTCAGGGTTAGGATTTCACCTTTCCTTTTTGTTTTTAACAGAAATGTTGTTACTGTTGTTTGCTGGGAAAGACTGCTCAAGTTCAGGGACAGAGCTGTGAACCAAACCTGAAGATAGGATACCAGTGTGGAATTGTATTCAGAGCTTGCTGTGTGAAGGGTCAAGAAGGCACTGATGTGTCCATCATTGATGATGCTCCTAAAAAGGATGAAGGTATTTTGTACAGTATTTTCCCACTTACCTCTATGGGTAAGTAGCACAAGTAAAACATTAATACAAAGATGGGTTCAATCTCAGCAATCTAATAACAACAATGTTTTCATCACTAAGCTAAGAAATAATCAGGTGTTTGAACATATATCAAATATGCCTAGCATCAATACAAGTTACCTGTAGACAGGCAAAGCAAGCAGCATGAGTAGGCGCATTTCCAAATAATGAATGGAAAATCAGATGGTCTCTGTTTTGGAAGGCATTTCTTAGGTTAGCACTTCATGTTTGTTAATAGTAAGACATGCAAGGCATGTGGCTTCTTCACCAGATGAGGCACTCTGACCCTCTGTATGATGCTTTATTGGCTGAGTAAAGGGGAACCTCTGATACTGTGTCCCCAAAGTGTTCCACAAAAATCAGACTGGGCTTGGGTACATCCATGATGTACCACGATTCAATAACCACAGTCTTTTGAGATTGGTGTTTTACACCCCTTACTACCAACTTGACATTTCCCCTGAGTTCAAAGTGGCAGGGATGAGGGGTAGGATATTGGCCAGTTCTTTGGGCAAGTAATGGATTCAGGTAGTGCATTCTACCCTTTTCTGCCCTCAGTGTACCAGTGATAAAAACTCTCTGAGTTGAAGTGTCTCAAGTACATTTGAAAGATGCCCAAAAGTTGGGTGTGGAGTTCCTTTTGGAGTGAAGTTTGAATAAATAACTGAGGTTAATCTGATTTTCATTAAAACTGTGAGTATCCCAAGTAAATATAAAGTCAGTGGAAGCCAAGTATGTCTCAGCAGCAAGGCTTATGAAAATCAGGTTAAATTGTGGTTAAAAGCCTAACATTAAGAACCTGCACTTGAAGATTTTAGCCCATATGTAATCTGTGATCACACTTTCATATTGAATTAGTCAGATAAAAAATGCCTGGTGGGCATATGCATTTGAATATCAAATTTAAGCGTGAAATAACTGTAAAATATGTAAATAATGTTCTTTAATTTTGTCCTGCTTCATCCAAAACCATGATCTGAATCCCTTCCCAAGCAGGCAGTCTTTCACTGCAAGAGGAAAAGTACTTTCTCCTCTAATGCCTCTCTCTCCTCTTTTTAGCTGAAATTTCAAAGGAGGAACTAGACCAAGAAGATCCTTATCTGCATGATGGCTGCAGAGGTAAGCCAGGTGACTAGTCCTATTAGCCAGCTCTTTTGTGATTCCATCCAATAAAAGTTAGCAAGTTTAGACCTAGATATTAGCTAAAACATGTTGCCTAGGCTAGCTGTGTGTAAAAATAAATAGAATGAGGATCCTAGTAGGCCATGTGTTGCTTTAATAATTCTTATATACAGAAAAGACACTGTCTTCCATGGTGGAATTCACCTTACCCAATCAAAGCTTAGATTGCTCATCTAACTTTTATTTGATCTCTAGTTGATAAGACCTCACAGTCGTTACCCAGTTGGACCCATCAAATACTCTTGGTTCTTCACAGCGCGATGATTAACACTTGAGATGATAGGGGAGACTGGATTTGAAATGAGACTTGTTTCGTTTTGAGATGCACCACTTGAACAAAAGGCAGAAAAGTGGCCTGCTCTGTCTCCTGGATGTGTTGTTGGGATAGTGTTCTGCTAAGTAGTCTGATTTACTGCTTGTCACATGTGATTTACATGTCTATAAACTTAAACAGCAGTGATTTATTACTTTCTACAAGCATTTCAGAACTAAGTCATGTATTTAGGATAAAATCAATTTAATAAACTTATATTCCAGTTGAGAGATGATTTATGGTGCTGCAAGTTGTATATCTATCACAGTCTAGAGGTTAGAAATGTCTACTAGGTCATTAGCTAGTCAAAGCCAGCACTGGCTCTCCTTCTTGTCTCCGACTGCTAATTACAATAGACGACATAAAAAAATGTGTTATGTATTTCCCTAGCATTATTTCTTTATGCAATCAGTCATTGCATTTGTCAGTTATTTGCTTGCTGGCAAGAGATGGATTGGTGTGATGAGTTCAAAGCCAGAGTTTCTGCCTGCAATATATTTTCTGATAATCTCTGCATGCTAAAATTATGTGTGAGTTTCCAGTGTTCACCAGAGGAAGCTCATACTTCCTAGGCAGGTTTTGATATGACTGACTGGAGTTCACATTATTAACAGCAGCTCCAAAGTTGGTAGCTGTCTATCCCAGCCATAAGCCTCTCCCAGTCACAAAGCTAGTTCCTTCTTCTCATGGAAGGAACACAGCTTTTGCCACTACTGTGTCCCAAGACCTGTTTTTCTGTGGTGTGTTTATGTCCTTGTCCTCATTAGGAGTTGTTCTATTTAAAAAATGTTTTTCTGTAATTCACTGGTCAGCTTTAGGTTTCATACTTGCACTTGCCCACATTAAGAGGGCTCATCTCGAACCTTTTGATTACTGTCTAGCCAGACATTCTCCTCAACAAAAGAAGGAGATCAATATTCCAAGATTCCAATAACTGCAGACATTTCTTTCTATGATTAGCCTCCTTTTGTGTATGTGCATATGTGTTTTGTGTGTGTGTGTGTGTGCAATTATTTACTTTTCATACTGCAGATGACTAGTTTGTGTCAGTTTCTGTGAGGAGCCTCTTAACTGTATAACGCTTCTTAAAATACCCAACCAGGTGGAGGTCCCTGCTCTCAGCAGTGCAGAGATACAGGATCCAGTTATGTCTGCTCCTGCTTTGTTGGGTATCAGCTTCAACCAGATGGTGTCAACTGTGAAGGTAAAAGAAATAAAATCACTGCCTTGATCATCAGCATTTTTATTTATTATTATTAGCATCTAGAAAAGATGCAGACCAAAGAGAGAATAATATGGCTGATTGTATTAGCTGGGGTGGGAGGTAAGACCATTAAAGCAGTTTTGTACTGACAGTAGTGGAAAAGTGGAGTTAAAAAATTAAATCGGATGGAGGATTTAGACTGAAGAGGCAGGAGATCTTTTGAGTTTATTGTTGTGAGTAAAAACAATAAAATACCTGTTTCATTTTATAGTAGTAAATCAGAATTGGTAAGAAAGATGGAGTAAAGTTCTTCAGCTTAGTAAGGAAATGACTGACAAATAGGATAAAAGTATTGGATTTCATGAGCAGCATGGAAATAGTCAAGGGGGAAGAACTATTCAGTTTCTTCTAGAACAAGAGCTGAAGGGACCTTAAGTGCAGCTATAGGGTTCATCAGTCTTAACTTTAGGCATGTATAATGTGGTTTCTGCATGTGAGCTAGTCAGTTTTCTGTTGCTCATCAAGAGAAAGAGGCACTTCCAGGGCACAGTCTATCTCGCCTATTTTCAGTATCAGTTCCAGGATGGGAAGCATTACTCCTTAGGATTGCCTTTTTCTCTCATTGACTGAAAAGGGAGTCTACATTAAAGTAGCTCTGGCTAAAAACTTAAAAATATAAAAGAGGTATTGATGATTGGTCAGCTTAAAACTAACAAAATACGAAATAAACAAAGGAAGAACGTTTTTATGTGTCACAGAATTAAACTAAAAGCCACTGTCTTATACTATTGTAGGTGCTGGGTGTATTGATGGATTCAAAAAGAAAATGAAAAAAATCATGAAATACTTATTGGTAGCTGAAAAGAAGGAAGTTGCAACCTGTGGCTCACAGAATCATTAAGCCAGATGTGAGCAAGGGAAGAATTTCTGAAAGTTTGCCTTGTTCATAAAAACACTTGAATCACCTGCTATAGGACCAGCCAGAGATTTTGCGGTCATACCCCTTTGCTATTAACCTGTACAGCTTCCCTCTGTTCTTTAGTAAAGTTCAGTGAATCAGCATTCTTAACTATTGTTACTAGTGGGATCAAAATGTTCTTATTTGCTAACATTTTGAGGTAAGAAAAGAGCAACCAATCATGCCTCGATTATGTGAGTGTGAGACGACATCCATATTTTTTTTCTACCAATACAGGTCATTAGTGGCTGAAGATTTGCCCACAGCCTTGCTTTTGACCTCCTCTCTTCCCAGTCATTTTGTGTTCCTTAGTCTCTCTCTCTTTTTTTTTTCCTTCATTTTCTATTTTCCCCCCTAGATATTAATGAATGTATAACTGGAGCACATAGCTGCGGGATTGGGCAAACTTGTGTCAATACACTAGGATCCTTTCGCTGTCAACGTGACACGAGCTGCGGAACTGGCTATGAGCTGACTGATGACAGTCGTTGCAAAGGTACGTTGTGGGCAGACAGATTAGCTTTCCAGATATACATAAAAGAATGCATCCATCATTGTGTCCTGTTCTTCTATGTTTTGGGGAAATACACGTGTCATTTGTAGTTCCATGGAGACATGCAGACCGTGCTAGTACTTCTGGGACAGTAGTTTTCTACCTATTACCTGGCAGATACCAGATTAGGCTTGTGAGTGGAAGGAATTTAGTTTTCACACTTCACACTTGAGTGGAAGGTGGTATGACCAGGGGATTTCATTTGTAAATGCTCTTGCAGATGCATTTTAAAATCTTTTTTTTAGTCTGATTTTTAAGTCTTTATGCAGGAGATTTACATTTGTTAGAAAGGAATTTGCATTTTAATCACAACATTCCTAATGATTTTAAAATGAAAAAGATTAAAAAACTTTTCTTTTCTTTTGTTTGAAAACAAAAGTCTTTTTCTACTAAAGGAGCGGCTGACTTCAGGTTTCATCTAGCTCAAAATATGCTATTATGTGCATCCATAGCTTCAGCAGACATGCTACCTTTGCACAGACAAAAATTAGCCTATTAAAATTAACCTAAACCCTATTTGATGTGGAATTAGTTTCCACTACAAAAAAAAATGTATCCTCCAAAGCTTAGAATTGCCTTTAAACAGGTTTGATCCGCTGCAATTTTGATCAGCTATGTAAGTGAATTCAGCTGAAATTCTACATAAGTTTTTATTGTAAGAAATGATCAGAGGTGTATAATAGATTGGAACTCTCCATTCCTCCACAACAAACTCTGAAATAAACCCATAGAACATAGACTTTATTTTTCAAAGTATTATGGTCTAATTTTGATGCTTTTGAAGTACAGCTTCTGGTAATTTGAACGACATCAGTTTAAGGCAAACAAATAGCAACAAGTATTAACAGTCTTTCTCCACTAGAAAAAACTCGGAATGCAGTCATTAAACTATGCATGCCATTAATGCTAGTAATTTCTTATCTGGATAAGATATGTAAACGCTGTTAATTTTAAATTATATGTTGATAGTGGTGAAAGTAGAAATGCATAATCTTCGTTTATGTTTCTAAATGCTCTGTACGACATAAAGCATTTAAAAATGACACAGACATAGTTGCCTTGCTATGCACAACATATAAATTGCTACTGCTTTTAATCCAGTTTAGTATTGACTCATGCTAAACTTTAAAAAGGCTTCGGACTCATTATTTTGTTCTCAGAGCTCTGTAGAAAAGCATTTGTGACTTCTGTTATCTTCATCTCATAGATGAACGGAAGCTTCCTATTGCTGGAAAGTTTCTGCACAGTAATAGCTTTGAGAGATGTCTTCCTATTACATTACAATGTGACAAACATGAAATTTTAGTTTTTATGTATGACAAGGTTACATTCCTGGGTGGAACCTGGTTAGCCATAGTTTGCTTAGTCTGAACAGTAGTTGATTTGCAAATACTTATTATCTATACTGAACTTGAGAGGACCGTTAAAGTGGTCAGAGATCATATTTCTGTGTGTTTTCAAGCAGAATAGTGCAAGGAGGCCTTAATATGAATGAGAGTCCAAGCTAGTTAATTCACTTGCAAGAGAAATAAACAGTGTCTCCATGACCCAAGGTTAAAATTACAAAATGAACATAAAATTAAGTCTTATTGACTTCAAAGCTGAGCTCATGTATAAGCACACTCCTGAACATGATGCTTCAGGTATGCTATAGTGATTTTGAATCATTTAATTTTGAGAATTAAATATGCAATAGCATTATAAATGTTCAGCATCTATAATGTTAATTTAATATTAATTTAGTGCAAATTTTATAATATTAATAAAGAACAATGAAGAAAACATATTCTGCCTGTTTTTACTGAGTTTCTTCTTGAGGCAGTGGATCAGACTGATTCTGGTTCACTGAACTACCTTTCATGAAAGTAGACTAAGGATTAACCTGTCTGATATTTTTAACTGTCTTATGTTTTAGATGTGATAAAAAAGCTTCTGTCAAACTCCTGCTAACAATTTTTTTTTGTGATGTACCAGATATTGACGAATGTGAGACTGGTACTCATAACTGCCCCCCCGATTTTATCTGTCAGAATACTCCAGGATCTTTCCGTTGCCGACCCAAGCTACAGTGCATGAATGGGTTTATACAAGATGCGCTAGGCAACTGTATCGGTAAGACATACTCTTATCTTGGTGAATACTTAAGAGTTGTCTGTGAAATAAGTTATCATTTCAGTGAGGGAGCTCTGAGCTTCTCAAGTCATTCTGTATGCACGTATGTGTTACTCTGCTGCGTAATTTTTGTATGCCCTTAAAAGTAGGGTCATTTCCACATGTAAAATTTATAGAAGAATACCATTTAAATAAAATGGTTAAGTATTAGGGCTGTATTTTTAATGAGATTTGGGCACTTGAACATTTTCCTTAAGTTTTTGGGGATTTTGTCTTTGTCATGTCATGTACTTTGTGATGTACTTCCAAAACAGAATTTCTTAAAAAATAGTGATATGTTTCCTCTCATCCTATCCAAATGGTATCCAAATTAGATAAAATTTAGTAGAGAAAACTGTTAATTTATGATATCCTTCTTAACACAGTTTGTTGCTAAATGTATGAAGTTGTTGTAAAGATATATAGGTCTTTTAAACCCATTGCCTTTGGTTATAGTTTATGAAGAGTCTTACTATGTTTGAGAATCATAGTCCAATTATAATACACTGTGTGTGGAGGTGAGTTTTGTGCTAAAGGCTGATTAAGATCTGTTGAGTAAATGCCTTGTTTCCAAGACTTGTCAAGTTATTGTGGGGCTCCTGTAAAAGAGAATTAAAACCTTTATATAAATCTGTTAGAATTACTGGTTTTCAGGAGACACTGAATGGAATTGTCTAATACAATCTACAAATCTATCAGTTATTCCCTGGAGGAGTAGTTTCAAGTCTCAACTTAACTTTAAATTTCCCCGACGGCATAGCGTGTTCTGGCCTTGTGGAACTGGCTGAGCAGCAGAAGCTGCCAATTGTAGCATATCATCAACTTCTCCTGCTCCTGACCGTATCATACCCTATATTGCTGAAATCTGACACTGGAAACACTGGGGGCAGAAAACAAAATTGCATTCTATCAAATGAAGGGAGCTCAGTGCTTGAGCACCACAAACTCTTTGAAGACTGGCTTCTGACATACCAAGAGCCATGTCAACAGCCATCACAAATCAGTGTGTCTGCACTGACATTAGTGAAGCAACACCAATTTGCAGCAACAGTAGCTATGGCCCCTGAAGTGCAGTTGCTCAAAATAATTACCAAAATGATTAAATTAGTTGATTTTGCATGCTGTGAATCAAATGCTCCTGGATGTGGTGTTGAGGGGAAAGAAGTGTGAAAACTCCTCATGGATTGTAGAGAGATGCTTAATTTGTGAACATATAATTCAAATACTTGTATGTTTACATGGACAGTCTATCATAAGATAAGGTATGCATAGTGAACACCTATGAGCTATAGTTCGTCTGTTGGTGCAAATATACATATACAAGTACTTGATACAGAATAGTTCATTCACTGTGACCAAAAATGCCAATTCCATACCCAGTTTCCACTAGTTTGCAGTGGAATCTGGCTTTTCACTCATCTGCAGATCTTCACCCTGGAAGCATAATATTGGTGAAGCTAATGACACAAGGGTTTGTGTTCTCCTATGGGTTCAGTTTTTGAGACGCTGAAGGATGCAAGGATGGCATCTCTCCTTAAGCATCTGCAGACAGTGGATAGTCAAACAGAATTGTTTGCGTTCTTTTAGATATCAACGAGTGCCTGAGCACCAACATGCCATGCCCAGCTGGGCAGGTATGTATTAACACTGATGGCTCATACACCTGCCAGAGAATCTCACCTAGTTGTGGCCGAGGTTATCATCTCAATGAAGATGGAACAAGATGCGTAGGTAAGTAACAATTTTGAAGAAAAAAAAAATATTGTCTATCTTAACCAGTTCATGCGCTTTGCCCAGGTTTTTCTTATTCATCAATTTCATCAACTCTTGATCCTGTTCTTTCTTTCATGCTGGTCCCAGCAAAGACCCAGCAAAGAATGGCAAAGATCATTTCTATGTCCTTTAAATAATTCACAAATCTCTGTATTCTGATAAAGGGACATCTGATAATCATCCCTCCAAATGGCATTATCTGTGATGATACTGACGTATTGAAACTATGCTGTGTGGCTTGAAGTCACAGTATGAGGTCTGACACAAGGTTGGACTTCTACTGCTTATGTTTTGCACAAGCTATTCAAGTAAGGCTGAAGGGCATATATATATTGGGTTGGCCTTCAACTAAGGTGACTTTTGCAGAGAGGTATTTTTGCATGCATTTGCAGGGTTTTCTTTTTTAAATAGCTTTTGTCAGTTTTGTGTTTGCTATAGTTATCATTACACACTGTGTACCCAGAACATCTTGCACGAGCCAAAGATCTATTCCATGAATATTGTGTGCATAATAAAATATTTTTGTATCTCATTTCCTCCAAAGATAGTCTGATTCCTGATTTCTTTTCCCTCCCAATCCATCAACATCAACAGGATATCTAAGATATACCTGTTTTATAAAGAAGAGTTTGGACTTGTGATTTTGACCTTATTAAAGCTGGGAACTAGGTTGAAATCTTGCTTGCTGTTTCAAAACAGCTTATAGCTACTGCTGAAGGAAGTCCATGACGCACTTATCAGCCAATTAGAATTCATATTTTTGTTTTACAGATAGAAGGGGCACAAAAAGATGCAGCTGAGCTAAGAGTTTACGTGTTGCTTTTATCTCAACTTGCATGCTCATAAGTGTACTTTCAATCACCTCTCTTTTTCAGATGTGGATGAGTGCTCATCCTCTATTCAGCCATGTGGAGAAGGACATGTTTGTATAAATGCCCCAGGCAATTACCGCTGTGAGTGCAAAGCTGGCTATTCCTTTGATGTCATCAGTAGGACTTGTATCGGTAAGTTGTACCTATTGACTTGAGGTACATGCACCAATGGCATTTTTTTAAAAAAATGATCCTATGTAAAGAATGCTGTTGCTTTCTGCATAGCCTCTTTCATCTGAATTTAAAACTGACTACTCTGTGACTTGTATAAATCTAATGCTATATTAAAGACATGCTGATACTTCAAAGGAAGCTGTATTAGTATTGTCAACATGTTATCTGTTATCCTCTTAAAAGGTAAGATTGTGAGACAGCATGTAATTGTTTTCTGTGATTCTTTTATATGCACCTACAGCAAAACATTCCTTTGAAAGATCAAAGCAACTTTCTTCTGTATATGTCTAAGGCAATTATGCACTAGGATGCTTCTAAATTAGCATTTAGCTCAAGTCCTCCTTTCTCAAGTATAAAGTTTAGATCTGGAAAATAAAAATCTAGCTTTTATGACTACTTTCTTATCTGAAATACTACTGCAGGGAAAGCAACCAGTACACAGATCTCTGTATATATTTATCTTTGCAGATATCAATGAATGCAGACGCTATCCAGGCCGACTTTGTGCACACAAATGTGAGAATACCCCTGGTTCCTACTACTGCACTTGTACCATGGGATTCAAACTTTCAACTGATGGCAGGTCATGTGAAGGTGAGGCTGTGGTTCCTGCAGGACACTTAGTTTGAGATACAGCTGGCCTCTGCTTTGCCCTTCCTGTGTGTTTAGCTCCTGATTACACTGGAATGGCATAAGGCATTGGCTGATTGTGGTCTGATTGATGACATGAATGCTCTTGTGATGAATCAGTGCAGTTGTAGACCACACTGCCACCTTATGGACCTTCTTCAGCTGGACTCCGTAGAGGTTTACTGCATTTCGAAGGGTGATTTGACTAGATCAGAGTCAAGAACTTAAAGACCTGCCTTGCTAAGTCATTAGAAGTGTGGTCCTAATGACTTACTCCAAGCCATATTACCCTTTGAAGACTGGTGGGAAATAATAGCACCTTAACCTGCCCTTATTTCCATCTTATACACTGACATATATACATCTTCTAAATTAAAAACACTGTTTTCTAAGATATTCATTCAGACCTGTATGACTGAGTCACATAGGAGTGATGCATATAGCAAGAAATTTGGATTTGAGATACGTAATTCTCTATTTCAGATTTAAATGAATGTGAGAGCAGCCCTTGTAGCCAAGAGTGCGCCAATGTGTATGGCTCCTATCAATGTTATTGCCGCCGCGGCTTTCAACTTAGTGACATTGATGGGATCTCATGTGAAGGTAAGATGATGCCTCCTTTTCAGACAGGAGATGAGGGGTCATTTCATATTCACACCACACTGTGTGTGTGAAATCTTACATTTGATTTTCTCTGATACTTTTCTGTTATACTATAGAACTGCATTTAGTGAAGGACTTGCATCCACATTTCTGGAAATATCTCTGCTTGCATGGTGTGAGTTTTGCTGTTTACACCGAACCTATGGCTTGGTGCACTTTTGTATCTTACCAGAAATGTTTTCCCAAAGAACTAACAGGGCTTCATGTCCTCAGCAAGTGAAGATACTAACATATTTTATTGCATATGTAACTTACAGTGTTGTGTAGGCTCCTTCTGTAGTTGATTCTGAAGTAACGTGTAAGTAGGCTTTCACTGAATACCGGAAAGATGTGGGTGTAACCTTTTGGACAAGACTTTAAGTTTGGACTAAGGTCTCCTGGATTTAATATCTGTCCTTAGGCAAAGCATCTCCTATCAATTTCCTCATTTTAAAAATGGGACGCCTCCTCTTCCTTTTTGTATATCATTAGGATATGTGGCACAGTGAAGTGTTTGTTACTATCCATTTATAGAACAAAATCAAACTTTGTCTCCTGGCACTTTGCATTGCTTTCAAATTTCCCCACACCTCCATTTATTGCTGAGACCCTTTAGAGTCATCTCACCACTGTCTATTGATCTTTTCCCTTACTCAGGCATTAGCATTGCCAAGCTGTGTTCGAATCTCACGTTGGGAACCGTAGATGTTAACTTGGTGGAAATTCATGAACACGTAATAATCATTGATGTTATCTTTTTGCAGATATTGATGAATGTGCATTACCTACTGGGGGGCATATCTGTTCCTTTCGATGTATTAATATCCCTGGGAGCTTTCAATGTACTTGTCCTTCCACTGGTTACAGGCTGGCACCCAATGCGCGCAACTGCCAAGGTAAGTTTCATAAGGGTAGGGACATTTAACTAGGCTGTAGACTTTTGAAAAGTTCTAATTAGATTATAAAGTCTGAAGTGTGTCTTTTTGCATCCTTAAAGAAGAACATCAGCTTGAAATGAAAAAAGTGTGTCTTTTTGCATCCTTAAAGATAAAGAAGAACATCAGCTTGAAATGAAAACAGTGTTTTATAATAAATAAATAGGATATGGTATAAATTTATCTCATAAAATGCACCAAATCATACCCTTTTTATAACATTTTTAAAGAATTCTAGTGAACTCAGTGAAGATGAAGATTCCTTCTGTGAAATGATATGGGTTAGTCTGATCATTAAAAGCAAATACCATCACACTATAACCATTTCAACAAATATTTAGGTCGTGTCCTGCTGCTCTTCCTTTCCCTGTTCTTATCTTGCTAGCATTCTTGTTGGCTTAGTTTTCTTTGGTTTTATTTTTCTCCTGCCCTCCCCTTTCTGTTTAATTGCTCCCTGTATCGAACAGTACCTAATAAGATACCTTCATATTATATATCTATGATACCCGGCAATCATCAACCTGGAAGCCGGGGAATGTGAATGTGTTTAATTCACTTTTCCATTTGGCAGATATTGATGAGTGTGTCGCAGAAACCCACAACTGTTCGTTCAATGAGACCTGCTTTAACATCCAGGGAGGCTTTCGCTGCCTGTCTTTGGAATGCCCAGAAAACTACCGAAAATCAGGAGACACGTAAGTGCTGTCTTTTTCAAGGTAGAATACCTTGTCACCTTTTGTAGTGACATGATTTTCATGTGACACCACTTCTGACTGACTATGTACTTTGTTGGTAGGCCTATGTTTTGAACATGCAAGTCTGGTCCCTTTCTTATGCTCCTGCTTAGGCTTCAGCCTAAAAAAACCCAAGGTATTTCCTTAAAAAGTAACATCAATGTGACAGACCACTCAGTAGACATGTATCAATCTGTAATGATTTATAGAGGCATAATCTGATGTTCTTTGTCTAGCCTTTGTATGTCTTTGTCTGGTGGTGTAGCTAGAGCTTGTGGCTGGTGCATTTTCTCCTGCCCTGGCTTTGTTGTAGTCCCCCACTCCAGTGGTTCTGCTCCACAGTCTCCTCATAGGCCCCGTATGGAGGTAGGTGTTTGCTCCACTGGCTAGGTAGGAAAGTTGACAAATCTCAGTGGTGTTCAACCCATTATTGTGGTTCACAGTCAGTGCCCTTATGCCTGTCACCTCTTAGACTTGGGTACTGTATCATCCTCTGTAGGATGAAGTGAATGCTGTTCTGGCTCAACAGGACCTTGTGGGGTTAGTTTGCATTTAAATCTCAAGGTATAAAATGCCATGTAAGTGGCATGGCAAGTGCATTTGATCAGAACACTGTAGAGGCAGCTCATATAATTAAAAACATGTATTAAAACATATAATACATACTCAATAGTAATTAACATTTAAGTAATATTTGTCAAAGTAATAAACAGAAAGTACCTCATGAGGCAGATGCTCTCTTTATTTGTAATATTATTTATTTATCTGTATTCAATAAAATAAATTTTTTAAACAGTCATTTGCAATGAGCCACTTAGCAGAATGAGCAGATTTTTACTTTTATGAACATTGCTGAGCTGCAGAGCTCATAAAAAACATATAACAATCTGCTTCTCCTGTAGACTTTTTCAGTTACCTTTTCCTTCCCAAAAAAGTTTCTCTCTTAATTTTCTTATTTTTCCTAATTTCATTTTCTCTTTCCTCTGTACTTCTATGCATGTGTTAAAATTAATGGCTAATTTTTAGCCATTTATATTAGATTTAGGGGATCCTTTTTGGCAGGAACAAATCTTTCTGATTTGTTTTTCTAAGTCTGGGTTTTTGATGCCCTGTGATTTCTTACTCTGCCCAGCTCAGACTCACAGAGAGCGATTCCTCTGATGTGCCAGGGCTATAATTATGCTGAGTCAGAAAAAAAGCCCTGCAACTGCTTAATGGAGTTCTGATTATTTTAATTCCTTGACTAATTATCTTGCTGGATTTGGTAGATTTGCTCCTCTCAACATCTGCAGACACAGTTATGGTTTTGCATAGCAATATGGTTGCATAAATCAAAGAATAAGAGTCCATCATCCTTAATGCAAAAATCCTCGTTAGTTCAATGGGAAGGTAGTCTCATACTCAGCCAGCATGAGAGTATCTTGCCAGCATTTGAGAATGAGGATGAAGGGCTTGCTTTTTGTCCTTTGGGAATGGTCCCATAAGGCAATTCATTTGCACCCTTTCTACACGCACACTAACATCCATGTTCTTGAATTGTTTATCTATGGCATAGATAAGCCAACATAGGGTACTGTGGGCTGGTAGGTAGCATATCTTCAGTACCATTTGCATAATAATGACATGAAATTACTTTTTTGCTTAACCTTGTGCCAAGATTCTCAAATCAAAATTGTTGACTTCTCTTAACATTTTATCTGTGAGAGATACCAATTGTTTCTTTTTTTTTTTATTCAAAACACATTCCAGGTTTACCAACTTGGCACTTCAAAGGAAAGACAAAACATTTTCCATTCCCATCAAGCTGGCCCTTCACAGGACTTCTTGTACTATTCCCCAATATGTTTTTCAGAGCAGCTATAATTTAATAGGCCTCAGTCTACAAATACAAGTTTGTTCTTTCTTATTTTTATTTTGAATTCTTATATACAAGCAGCAACAACCCTCAGTGACCAGAAAATTCATTATTTCATACCTTTAAAGTGGAGATTTTGCATAATGGCTGTTCCAATGGTAGTTGGAGTACGCAATATATAGTCATCCCCAGATATCCAGTAGAGTGGCCTGGCATAGTCTGGTCTTTAACGGTAACAATTTTATTAAAAGTCTTATCTCTTTTACTTAAATACTTTTTTCTTTTTTTTTTTAAGAGCAGCCTATAAGCTTGGTGTTTTTCCAAAGATAATTAAGGTTTACTGCCACTCACAATCGGATTTAACTTGCTGTGCATCCCTTGCCAAAGACTTTTTTGTTTTCAAATTGCATAACAATTAAATTCTCTTTATGTGACACTTAAGTCAAACATTTGTAATATTCAGGCCAAGAAAAACAGTAGAAAAGATAAAGAAGTGGTTATGGCAGTATGTCAGAAATGTATGCTGCTTTGTGCCAAAGTGGGAAATATTCTTGTATTCTAAACATGTCTGCTTATTATTAAAGTTGCTTGTCACTTCTAATTATTAGAATCTGTTTTTAACTACTAAAAATTTTGCCAAAACTTAACAAAGGGCTAAAATTTTACATGCCAAGTGCCTGACTCATGCCCACATTTTGGAAAATTTCAACCAAGGCAGTTTATTCATTTCCAGGACCAGGATAGAGAGGAACACTTTTTGTTGTTGTTTTTTGGTTTTTTTTTTTAAACACTTTGCCATTATTTTCTGTAGCTGAAATTTGAAATTTGTTGAGAGATGACTTTGGTACTTTTGATCATCTTTATCAAAACATTTAAAACTTTTGCAGTTATGAACTTTGTAATATTGCAGTTAGCCTTTATTCATAAACTTTAGAAAATGAGGGCTTTGAAGAATGAACTTAATCCACTCCTTTGCCCCAAATAATGATCAGTTCTACCTAGAGTCGAAGTTTTTCTTGAACTTTTTCTGCAAGTCCTTCACTGATAAGGATTTCATAGTCTTTGTGGAAAACTTGGTGTCAATTCAATTTAATTCCTATTATCAATAGAGAAGTCTTTATTTTTAGCAGCAAATTATTCTCTTCTGACTTAGCAGCTTTGAACCTCTTGCAGCTCTTAAAGCAGTCTGAAATGTGCATGTGCTGACTCCACAGCTCACCCTGTCTGAGCCCAGTCCCACATAGGCCACAGGAATGAAGCCAGATTTTCCCTGCAATGTCAGCACCTATCTGTTCTGAGCCAGGTGCCGCCAGACCTGACAGCCCCAGGACCTCTTTCTTCCATGCTTTCCAGGACCACCCAGACTCCATGGATAAGAAAACAGTTTCTAACAGAGATGAGAGAAAAGGCAATTCAGTAGGAAGGAAAGGAGTATCTAGGAATAGGGAGGCTGGATGCAGAGAGGGTAGGACCTGAAACTGTTACCAGGTGAGGTAAACGCTTGAAAGGTGGGAGGTAAAACAGGATAACACAACACAAATACAAAAGGGAAAGCAACACTGAAAAACCATGCAGAATATGAGGATAGAAAGGATTAAGGGTGATCGATCCCAGGTTTAGATGAAGACTGGTGTGAGCAAAAGGTTATTTGGAATGGTTGTGCAAAGATACTGAGGGAAAGGGGTGTGTGTCTAGAGGCTAGGATGGTGATTGAGGAGTTGAGAGAATCAAGTGACAGCCAGGAGAGCTTGAAGGAAGGAGAAGAGGGTTGGAACTGACTGAGTAGAAAGTCCTGATGGCAGATGTTGGAGTGACCAGGAAGGGAGAGTAGGCAAGGAAAGGGGTTGGGGAGAAGGAGCTGGATTGAGAAAGAGATAAATGAGACAAAGGTAGGACATACAGGCTTGATGGTGAGGGCAATATGAATAAGGGTCTGAATCTTCAACAGAGTATGACTATTTCAGCCCTTTCAGCTGTAGATAGGAGGAATATGCAGAGGATATGTGCATCTTATCTACAGTTACTATATACTACATTCCTGCCTGAGCCTGAAGAGGAACTTCAGATCCTGACCATTCTTTTAAGAAATGGTCAGGATTTAATGGTTTAAGAAATGTCTGTAAAAAACAGCCAGCTGTTGATTTCATTCCCTTTAAGATCTGGTCTGTTTAGGACAATAACCCCCTTCTCTACTCAGCTGCTGTGTTAACATAAATGTAGAGGTCCCTGATGGGGATAAAGCCCAGTCAAGGGCCCTCTGGGCCTCAAAGCATGATGTAGTCTGTTGAAAAGAAATATACACTGATGATAGAGCAAGTGCTTTTATAGTAGAATATATTCTAGGAGGTACAGAACATTGTTACAACTCTGTGAGCCTACAAAGAGTTGAATTTTGAAGATGTGCAGTATAGAGTTTGTTATTAACACTTAGTTTGTTATTCAGAATATTGAGATTATTTCCTTGTATAAAATCAGTTACAAGGCTCTAAATCCTGCTAAAAAGTTCTCATGCCTTTATGGAAAAATTATTGTACAACACTCAGCTGTTTTCAGCACAGTCGAATAAATTGCCTCTGCACCCAGGTGAAAACTTGGCTCAGAAATCAACAAGGCAGACAGACAGACAGAAAGCAGACAGGCAGGAAAACTCATCTCTGTTAGAAAGTGTTGTATTAATTCTGAAAAGTGAAATCTCTCTGTTCTGTTCTTTTATTTTCCTTTTATTCTCCTTTATGAGTAACCAATATTTTCATACATAAAATTCATACTACCACTAATTCTTTGCAGCCAGCATGTCTGCCAAGTAAAATAACTTAAGAGTAAAGAGCAACAAGCGATTTAGAGAGCTAAAATAATCAGGTAGTAATACAGGGAGAGGTTTTAGTCGTCCTATATGCTTATTTTTCAACCCCATGTGCCTATTTGTGGAGGTCTGCAGGAATTATAAAGACATATTTAGAACAGTCTCCCTGCAAAGTGTTTTTATGTTTTACTTTCTCTGCAGGCTGTATTCACTTGGTAGCCAACTGAGCCCTCCTCAGTGGTTCCCTTCCTGAGCGGGTCCCTTTAGTGTTCTTAGGCACAGCGACACTTCGTGGTGGCAGGA